AAATACTGTTATGATTTGGATGTACATGTACCATGCCTAAATAGTGGTCAGGGTTTGTCAAACATGGTGCACGAGCCAGAGGTCAGCACTTTGTGTCAAACCCTGACTACAATTTTGGCATAGTACATCCAGATCATAACACTTTTATAATTATTATGCTGAATGTTGTTTGTATATGACAATTTAATTAAAATTTAATTAAATTCTCAATCCCAAACCTGTTTGCATATGTTAAATCTAAATGGAAATTTGGATGTACTATGTCGAAATAGAAAGTATAGAAGTACTATATGCTGTAATAGTCAGTGGATAAATGGATCATAGCTGTGTACTATTGTTAACTATACAAATGCTTAAATCATCAACATCACAAACATGAGTGCTCTCCTGTTTGGCATACTATGTATTCTTTATTCAATATGTCAAACAATATAATCTTTGTTCAATATCAAAATATTCACACTTTTCTTTAAAGAAATTGTCTCTGACCAAAATAGCAATAGCTGTCCAGTATCTTGAGTAAAATTCTGCTATTCATGATGACATTAAATGGAACAAGAAACTGCTCAAGTTGATATTGGTTTCAAGACTTCAAAGTACATGTATTGGTAAAACTGATGTCAGAGCATGACTATTGTCACAAGTCACAAGTCTTATGCTGCATTTATTACAACCTAAATTTGACAAAAACATGCAAAACCCATTACACTGTGTGAAGTTAGCCTTTACCGATAAATAATCACCTAAAAAGGAGCAAAACATGTATGAGCACTTTTAAATTTTTCTGGTCAGGTGCACCATATATTTACTTATGTTTATAAGTGAATGGCCAAGACCAGGTGTTGATAATATTTCATCATGATTTACATACAGGTAATGAACAAACAATATTTTGACAAGGGACCCAGAATAAAGATTTACTAATTTCCTGTTAAAAAGTCGAGGCCAACATCAACATAGGTGCAGGTATTTAAAAAAAACATTTTGATCAATCTCACACTTAGGTGAAGTAAGAAGCTATTGGTCATTTTAGGTCATCTTCAAACAGAACTACAGTCAAACCTCATTATCTCGAACTCGATGGGGCTGAGAAAAAACTTTGAGATATCTGAGGATTCGAGATAGCGAAGGTAAAATAAGTTGTTGGGACTTTGAAATCGGTTCAACATATCCATTGTATTTGAGATATCAGTGTTTGAGAAATTAAAGTTTAACTGTATTTCAAGGTCAAGAGTAAGGAGAACTGTAAAAGGTCATATTGAGGACATTGAGGACATCTCATCTTGCTTTTTCCATGTGTGAATTCACCACTTCAGAATTATAACAGGTCACCTACAAAAGAACTGAACACAAAAGCTACACAAACTCATTGACAGATGGAAAAATCATGAATAGCAATAACTTAACTGCCAAGTCACAGCTGGCAATGATAATCTCTGCTATAGAGAAAAATTATCCAATCTTAAAAAAAAGTTATCTTGGAATTTTATGATCATGGATTGAAAGTGCACATAGTTTTATAGCATGCAATAGATGTATATTTTTATCCTAGTATTATCAATTATGTCCTTTGTATTACTTTTTTTGACAAAACTTTCCAAGAGCTTATGGAATTTATCCCAAAGATGTACTTAAAGCAACTGAATTTCAACAATTTAACAATTCCCTGATGATAAACATGATGTTTGAATAATTTATACACCATATTTTATAACAGTACTTGAGATATTTGGTTAATGAATTTACTGGGAAATTAATTATCGCTACTGTTGCCCATTACATGATTTTTACATTACAGAAAAGTTTCAACTATTTTTGTCACAGTTTTTGTACATATTAAAGTTGTGATTTCTCTTGTTTGTATCATAAAATAGAAATTGTTTCATTTTTTCACATCTATCTCAAAAATAAGTTTTCTTTTGAGATTTTTGAAATTCAGTATTATTCTGCATCGAAGTAGACTCTGATGACACTGAACAAAAGACGATGACTATATTTATTACTACTTGTGAGACAGTTTTTTTCCCTATTTTCACTAAAGCTTCACACTTGAGAAAATTAAAAAAAAAACAAGATGTATCTGTGAAACACTGATGCCCCTGTATGACAACTTGTAGTGAAGGTTAAACTTTCTCAAATGCAAATCAAATATGTTGGTACCCAAAGCAAGGTCTCAAGTAATATACCTGTGAAATAGGAAAGCCCTAACAGCAACCATTGAAAAGTTATATGGAAAAGGTTAAAGTTTTTCAAAAGTAAGTCAAACATCAATGTCAAGGTCAAATGGTCAAAATTAATGGTGCCCAAGGAAAGGCCTTCTCACAAGAAATACACAAGTAAAATACGAAAGCCCTAGCACCAACCATTCAAAAGTTATGGTAAGGTTAAAGGTTTTCAAAAGTAGGTAAAACTTTAAGGTCAGGGTCAAAGTTATTGGCATTCAAAGGAAGGTCTTATCACAAGGATTACACATACGAAGTATAAAAGCCATAGAACCAACTATTCAAAAGTAATGGCCAAGGTTAAAGTTTTTCAAAAATAGGTCAAGGTCAATGGGCTATAATTGTTGGTATCCAAAGGAAGGTCTTGTCACAAGGAATACACATATTAAATATGAAAGCCCTAGCAACAACTATTCAAAAGTTATGGCCAAGGTTATAATTTTCAAAAAAAAAGGTCAAACTCCAAGGTCAAGGTCCATGGGTCAAAATTTTTAGTATCCAAAGGAAGGTCTTATCACAAGGATTACATATGTGAGGTAAGAAAGCCCTAGCACCAATAGTTCAAAAGTTATGGTCAAGGTTAAAGTTTTTCAAAAGTAGGTAAAACTCCTATGTCAAGGTCAAAGGGTCAAAGTTGTTGGTATTCAAAGGAAGGTCTTGTCACGAAGATTACACATGTGAAGTATGACAGCCCTAGCACCAATTATTCAAAAGTTATGGCCATGGTTAAGGTTAGGTAAAATTTTGCAAAACTCGGTCAAACTCCAAGGTCAAAACATCAAATTTGATGGTACCCAAAGAAAGGGGTCTTGTCACAAGGAATACACATATGAAATATGAAAGCCATAGCTCCAACCAATCAAAAGTTATGGGCAATGTTAATGTTTTTGCAGACAAGCAGACAGCTAGACGGACGGACAGGGCAAAAACTATAAGTCCCTGAATCTTTGATTACGGGGGCACAAAAATCCTCTCCCACTCATGAAATAAATTCCATATCCAACTACAAAACACTGAATATCCTCTATTTCATACTGAATATCAATTCAATAGAAAATACTTTTCATTTTTGAGACATACTTGTACTGCAAAAATGGGTGTACAAAAAAATGGTTGTTGAACCTTCATGGGAAGAAGTGCTTTAGGAAAAAACAGTACTATTAATTAATGGTTATATTAAGAAAATCTGACAACTCTTACACAATACTTTTTCAATCTAATAACAGTAGAGAAACTTGGGAATTAAACAAAATTTTCTATCCTCAAATCAAATTTTCCACAATATTATCGCATTAATAATACAGCAAAATATCTTTCACAAGGGAAACACAACAATTTATAGCTCTTAAACTGCAAAACTACATCAATGTCTTCATTAAAGTGGGTGAAAATTTTCAATGTTACTCTCAACTACATGCAGTATTTATATAATGTACCATTTAAATCTCTGTTAGAATTGGAAATTAATCTTTTTGCTGACTTTGCATTGATTGTTTGAAACAAATAAAAATTATCTCCGAAAAGAAATTCTGTGATAATTGTCCTTTGAAGTTTTACAGATTGCCAATTTTGCTTCCACTAAAATGTCAAGTAAAGTTTCTGCTTAAATGTCCATTCACACTTATAGAAATTCTACTAAACTGTCCAGTACTCACTCTCTAAGTTCCTCTAATTTGAACAAGATGACTATGCCCAGATAGAAATCTTTGCTGATCATCTGTCTTAAGTTTTTTTTGTTCATAATTAATTTGTGTTTATTTTTTTGAATTATGACTTTTGACTCTGCTCTATGCTTTCTAATGTTCACATGTTCAATTAATCTCTTGACTCTCTGCTCTCTTAACCTGTTCTATTGTTCTTGACTCACTCTCTGCTCTCTTAACTTTCTGATGTTTTCTGTTCTATTGTTCCTGACTCTCTGCTCTCTTTACCTGTTCTATTGTTCTTGACTCACTCTCTCCTCTCTTAATTTTCTGATGCTTTCTGTTCTATGATGACTCAGATGTTTACCTGTTCTATTGTTCTTGACTCTCTGCTCTCTCTTTTTTTTTTTAGATGTTTATCTGTTTTATTGTTCTTGACTCACTCTCTGCTCTCTTAACTTTCTGATGCTTTCTGTTCTATTGTTTTTAACTCTCTGCTCTCTTTATTTTCTGATGTTTTCTGTTCTATTGTTCTTGGCTCTTTGCTCTCTTTACCTGTTCAAGTTCTTGACTCTCTGCTCTCTTTATATTCTGATGTTTTCTATTCTATAGTCCTTGGCTCTCTGCTCTCTTGTATTCAGATGTTTACCTGTTCCATTGTTCTTGACTCTTTGCTTTCTTTTTTTCCAGATGTTTACCTGTTCTATTGTTTACTCACTCTCTGCTCTCTTAACTTTCTGTTCTATTGCTCCTGACTCTCTGCTCTCTTTCTATTCAGATGTTTACCTGTTCTAATATTCTTGACTCTCTGCTCTCTTCATCATCCGATGTTTTCTGTTCTATTGTTCTTAACTCTCTGCTCTCTCTGTATTCAGATGTTTACCAGTTCTATTATACTTGACTTTCTGCTCTCTGTTTTCCTTCTAATGTTTACCTTGACTCTACTGTCTTTGCATTTTTTTTTACTCTCTGCTCTCTCAACCTTTGTGTTTACCTGCTCTGTTACTTTTTCACTCTCTGCTCTCACAGCCCTCTGTGTTTATCTGCTCAATTATTTTTGGATTCTGTGGTTTCTCTGTCTTATGATAATTACCTGTGTTAGTCACTTTTTCATTCTCTACCCTTTACTGTTTACCTTTTCTGTTCATTCTTGATTCTCTGTTCCTCTGCCTCTTTCTCTTTCTTTTTACGGAGATACTCCTCCACTTCTGTTCCCTCTAACTTCACTCTTCTTCTTATCTGTACCAACAAAATTATTATAAAAGTTTTCTCACCAACAAAGTATTGCATAAGTAAAGTAGATGTCAAGAACTTTCTTTCATAGCAAGGAATATGATAAAACACTAATACCAAGTTTATTCAAAGCCCAAATGCTCAGTAAAGGATAATTCACTTTTTTAAAATTTGTAATCATGTTGATATGATTATATAATTCCAAAAAGATATCTGCAAAATATCTTTGACTCGGCCATTTTACAGAGAAACATAATTCTTCATTTTTTGTCTACAAAAGTTTCAATCTTTTCCTCTCCTGAAAGTAAAAAAAGGATGTCAAAGAAACTACACATTCTGAATAATGCCATAAGCCCACAGCAATTTTCTTTACTTGGCATATCAGTATCATTTCCTGAGAGATGTTTTTCAGCTTCTATGTAAAAAAAAAAACAACTCTGTTTCTAGGAGAAGTCGAACTTCCGAAAACATTGACACAAACCTGAATTTTTGACTATGGCCTTCAGTTTGTTATTCATTGTAGACAGTACATTTACTACGGTTCGTTTTTTCCTGTGTAATTGTTTTCATCCTTTTCTAGTGTGAGACAAAAATGATTTTTATGTACTGTTATGTACTACATGTATAAGGTACAAAAAATATTGGTATGCTTTGTTCTTTTATAAACTTTGATTGTGCAGCAAACCAATAACTTGAAACATCTACCTGTAAATGTGAAATTATCTGAGTTTATAATCCATATTAAACTAACATAAAATATTATGGGATAGAAGGGATTCACGCATGAGACATCTCCTATTTTAAACATGGGTCTAGATCATGTAAACATTGGTTGAGTACAGAGATTTTCTGCCCACAGCAAATCAGCTTCACCATCCCAGAGTTATAGACAAACAATAGACTCCAAACTTTGTCACAGAGGATATGTCTACCTGCTACACAAGTAAACATCATTACTAAAAATCTCTGATGTGGAAACTATGTGCCAACTGGTTTTACATAAGGCATAATAATCAGAAAACATCAATTTCTTTGATATTGGCCAAATACAAGACAAGTCTGATCAACTGCATTGATAACATTTCCTCAATTAAAACCTTATCTTCTATTGATTTTTTTTCTCTTTCTATTTAATACAAAAAAGTTTCTAATGAGCAATCTTGTTACCTTCTGCAAAAAAAAGTACTGCTATACCTGTTCTAATTATTATTAAACCATTTTTAAATGCTAAAAGAAAATATTAGACCATGTTAAGAAATAAAACCTTCAAGGAGAAAGAACAATGTTTGCGATTTTTGTAAACTTTAAGAAAAATGAAAAGAAAGGAAAGTAATGTGAAGAATAGGGGAAATTTGATAAAACCTAAGTCAATAAATGCAAGGAATGAAGCCAATAAACCATTCATTAAAACTGTTATAGTCCTGCTAAAAGCATTTTTCAGTCATGAATATCATATTGATGAGAGAAGCTGAGAAAAATATCACATGAAAAAATACAATTTGACATTTAGATGGCTGACAAGGTGGAAAATTTCTCTTTAATTATTCATACCCTTTACATGATTCAAATTGAAAATACACTGGGGTGCAAAAAGAGCAAAATGAATCACAAACTCTTTTCTTCATAAAATAATGAAAATAACAGACAAAGAAGAAGCCCATGGGCCATAACGCTACCTGAGTTACTTTGGCCCTGCTGTTCTGCATCAGATTTTTTATCCCCCAAAATACATGTATTCCTCTGTATTTTTGATTGCCTTTTTTGATCCATCCTATACACAGGGCATTATTTGAACAAGAATGAATCTACATTACCAGAGCATGCTTCATCATGGATTTGCTAGAGTTTTCCCTATATAATTCAAATTGTAGCCCCACCCTACCAATGGGCACCATGATCTGAACAATTTACAATCTACACTACCTCAGGAAACTTTCTACTAATTTTTAATCTTTTTTGGTCCACTGGTTCTTGAGAAAAAAGATTTTTGAAGATTTTTCCTTTATATTTCAATGTAAAATTTGATTTCCTTTTGTGGCCCCATTCAGACCCTTGGGGGCCATGATTTGAACAATTCACAATCTACACTACTTTAAGAAGCTATCACCTAAATTTGGGTCAAGTGCAGTATACGGTATTGTAGTTCCTGCGGATTTTCAGTTTTAACAAAATGAGTAAATAGTCCTCATATCTACCCTATTAAAGTAATGAATATTTATTGTAGTTACATATTTAATCATAACATTTACATAATATACATATTCATTAAATTTTGAATTAACAATAAATATGGGGAAACAGGACAACAGGTCAACAGGTCGACAGGTCAGCAGGTTGACATGTATAGATATTCACCACAGATATTCAATTAAACTTGACCCGTTCAAACTTGTTAAATTTCGTTATTTAAATTCTTACTATGGTTTCAAAGTAATTTAGATTTAAGGATATTGCATATCATGAATCAAATTAATTTAAGTTGATATATTAATATACAACTGAAAGTTTAAATATATTTTTACCAAAATACCACTATTTCATTTGCATACTTGCTGGCTATTCCTGTGTCTACCTAATAAAATTACATTGACCTGCTGATTTGTCGACCTGCTGACATGTTCACCTGCTTACCTGTCGACCTGTACACATGTTTATTAGCTAATATGCTTACCTGTAGACCTGCTGACCTGTCAAATTGCTAACCTGTCGACTTGCTGACCTGTCGACCTGCTGACCTGTCGACCCGCTGACTTGTTGACCTGTGCACATTTATTCACTAACCTGCTTACCTGTCGACCTGCTGACCTCCTTACCCTTTGACCTGCTTACCTTTCGACCTGCTGACTTGTCGACATGTTTACCTGTTGACCCGCTGACTTGTTGGCCTGTACACGTTTATTTACTAACCTGCTTAACTGTCGACCTGCTTACCTGTCGACCTGTACACATGCTCATTTGCTAACTTGCTTATCTGTCGATACACGTTTATTTACTAACCTGCTTAACTGTCGACCTGCTTACCTGTCAACCTGTACACATGCTCATTTGCTAACTTGCTTATCTGTCGATCTGTCAACCTGTACACGTTTATTTGCAAACCTGCTGACCTGTCGACCTACTGACCTGTCTACTGTACACAAATTCATTAGCTTGCCTGCAATTCCCTCGACCTGTATTTTAAACTTTCAATAACAGGTACTGCTTATCTCTTTCACATTGATTTAATTTATTGTTTTAGTTAATACAGATAATAATTCAAATAATTTTAAAAATGAATACAAATTAACGTCACATTTTTAAATAAATGCGCCATGTTCCCCGGAACTACTTAAACGTATATTATTATACCTCTATTAAGAATACTCAAATTTGATTGGCTTGTTAGAAGGCTTTTAAACTCAATAATGACTCCAAAAAGTACCGTTTACAGCAATAATGACCTAGGAATCATTGCACATGGGGTATAATGACCGGTCAATAAAATTAATGACCACTAAAAATGACCTGTTAATCCAAATTCCATTCAAATTAAAAAAAAATATGCATACTGTAATGATTATACATTACAAAAATTGCCGTTATAAAAATATGTATAGTATTTTTAGGATACGGAACACGATTGGCCTTTAGATGCGTCATAACATTTATCGTTTTCATTGAAATTAACTTTCGTTACAATACAATGTCAAATTCAACAAACGCAGACTCGGCTCTCTTGTACAGTAAAAGTCTGCACCAGATTGTCATTGTAGTCGGGAATGGTATCTGTGAATTTATAAAAATGCAATGTTACTGACAATCACAGAGTGTTTTAATAAATCAGCGGTGCAAAAACTTACAAGACTGGCAGCCGAAAAGTAAACAACTTCACTAGCGAATCCCGATCCCGATGGAACACTGATAACAGTTCGTAGGTCTTATACATGTAATTGATTATTTTAGTAATTAAGCTTACAAAAATTGCCTTAACTTATATCGGTATAATAAAACAATTGATTTCCCCTTATGAGTTCAACATGGTGAAATAAGGACCCTCGACCTGGCCCACTCGCTGACCTGACCTGACCTCGGCCGCTACGCGGCCTCGGTCAGGTCAGGTCACCTCGTGGGCCAGGTCTTGGGTCCTTATTTTACCATGTTGACCTCATAAGGGGTAATTAATTGTATAGTATACTTGGGCCTTAAATTTCACTTTTTTTTGGTGCAGTGGTTCTTGAGAAGAAGATTTTTCCTATATATTTCAATGTAAAAATTTGATCCATTATTATGGTCCCACCCTACCCCCAGGGGATATGGTTTGAACAAGTTACAATCTAAACTACCTCAGGGAGCTTTCATATAAGTTTCAGCTTTTCTGGTCCAGTGGTTCTTGAGAACAAGATTTTTAAAGATTTTTCCTATATATAGTATTTCAATGTAAATCTTCGATTACCTATTGTGGCCCCACCCTACCCCTAGAGGCCATGATTTGAACAATTTAGAATCTACATGCCCAGTGATTCTTGAGAAAAAGATTTTTTAATGATTTCACCCTATTTTTGCCTTTTCTTGATTATCTCCCCTTAGAAGGGGGATAGGCCATTTATTTAACATTTAGAATCTCCTTCACCCAAGGATCTTTTGTACCATCCACGATTAAAATTGCAGTGATTTGAACAAACTCAAATTACTAGTACATGACAATGCATGGAATGATTTGAACAAACTTGAATCACATGACAATGTCTGTCTCTCATTCAAAATTTTGCCAACATATTTGTATGTGTGAAAGAGTTTGTGCCAAATTGGCTGAATTCAGCTCAGATGAAAATGAAACACAAGGCCCAGGACCACATCACTCACCTGAGCAATTTGGCTAGGAAAAAACAGAAAAAGCAGAGTTCAGTATTGAAAAGTTTCTATATATAAAAGTGGTTTCAGCAGGGGAGGAGGGGGTTATGATTTGAACAAACTTGAATCTACACTTCCTAAGAATGCTTTTGAATAAATATGACACATAATGGCTTTGCTGTTCTTAGGAAGATTTTTTTTATTGATATATTCTTTATATTCCTTTGTATAACTATGATCCCCTGTTATGCTGGCTCTATACTCTTGGAGGGGGGGGGGGGGGGGGGAGTGTCATGATTTGAACAATTTTGAATCAACATTACCCGAGGATGCTTTTATATTACATGTTTTATGACCAATCATGGCTTTGCTGTTCCTGAGTAGATGATTTTTAAACATTTTTCCTATGTTTTCATGTGTAAAAATTTGATCCCACATTGTGGCCCCACCATACCCCTAGGGGTCATGATTTGAAGAAACTTTATTCCACACTAGCTGAGGATGCTTCCATATAAATGTCACCAATCATGGCATTGCTGCAGTGAGTGTTCTTGAGATTTTTAAAGATTTTTCCCATGTTTTCCTATGTAAAAGTTTGATCACCCATTGTGGCCCCACCCTACCCCTGGTGGTCACGATTTGAACAAACTCAAATCTACACTAGTCACTACCTGTAGACATAAGTTTCACATTTTCTAGCAGAGTGGTAGGGTCTTGAGAAGAAGATTTTAAAATGATGCCATTAATTTTTCACAAATTTGAAATTATCTCCCCTTGGAAGAAGGCCTGGCCCTTCATTTGAACAAATTTGAATCCCCTTTACCTGGTTGAAATTGGCCCAGTGGTTCTTGAGAAGAAAATAAAAATGTGGGGAAAAAACCCGATAAAGACAACGATGACGAAAGAAAAGGGACAATTTTTGATCAGAAAAGTTCACTTGAGCCTTTGGCTCAGGTGAGCTAAAAAAAATTAAATAGATCTTCACAATCAGGAAATGGACTGACAGATTCTAGTTTTCAGTCAAAAAAAACTAAGTTTAGCTTTTGGCACAGCTGAGCTAAAAAAATCTGATTTAATTTTTTTCTTAGTGTTAATTTCTTCAGACAGGCTTCTGTCCATCACACTGTACTTTTTGTTCTAGAAATTTTGTGATATTTTATTTCTTTTTCAATCAAACTTACAAATCTACTGGAGATATCCTAATGATTTCAAGGTAACCCAAACATATATTCATAAACAGTTTGATTATAACACTCAGAGGATAAATACTTTCCTATGTTAATAACCTATGCTAAAACACATAAACTGAATTTATATAATAGAATTACTAAGCTTCAGGTAGACTTCAAGCTTAAGTTCGATCTTTACGGGGATTTTCTAGAAGCCATCAGAGTGGGTGACAAATGTCTTACATCCATGGTAACAGTCTTGTTCTCTGGGTTGTCTATCAGCCATCTTGCCAGAGTTCCTGGAGAGGTTCTATTTGTCAGGATGATGCTATTTTTAGGACTACCACACCAGGCTAAAAACAAGTCTCGGGAAAATCCACATTGCAGGTCTGGAACACTTGCCAAAACCACCTGCAATAAAAGAAAAGTAACAAATATACTTGTCTTGAAAGTTAAATTAACGAGAAATACTTGCTTAATGCGAGTCAATTTGTAAAAATAAAAAAACTGTCAATAATTTAGTATTAAATTATACAAAAAGATCATTATTAATTAATGCATACTTCTAAGCATGATTAGAAGTGTTTTCGTCACACAACTTGAATCTTTAAAAAAAAATGTGTTGCACTCCTGACCACAGAAATATAGATCTGAAGCACAGACAGATCCTGTAATTGATAAATCTCTTTGGTAAAAATGTTCTTTGTGTCTATTTCCCAAAATAAAAATCAAAAAAATCATATCATGATAATAGTTTTTTTCATGCTTGGGAGCAAAACATCAAATGTTGCACTCCTGACATTATTGGGTATGCAATACTTGACTCTCATTAATGCTGCTTGTGATATATATAACATTTTTATGTTTTAAAATGTATATCAGTTTTTGTTTTACACTTCGAAAATTCTTTTTTGTATTAATTTTCTTTAAGAATTTCACAACTGATTTTTTTTTTGGCAACACTATATTTTTTTCTGTTGCACTCGATCCTGACATGGTATAAATTTTTTTTAAACATCAGCCATGACCACAACTTAATTAAACAAAAGTTACTACAGTCCACATTTAAAGCTCAATACATGTACTTCAAATATTATCAGGAAAGTCTTTATTTTCAACATTAAGCATTATTATTTATTTCACAGATCTCGAAAAAATATTGAAATTTCAAAATGTCACAAAAAGGTGTTGCACTCCTGACAATTTTAGCATCATTTTTGGGCATAACTTTTTTGTTAATGGAGATATCAACGAGATATTTGGCAGGTATTTAGTCACTATCTCAAGACATATGCAGAGACATAGAAATCTATTTTCATTGCCTGTATTTTTAGTATGGGTTGATAAATATGTGTTTGGTCATTTTTTTTTTATTCATCCAACTGTGATATAGTCACAGGCACTTGTTTCATACAGTTCACTAGTTTTTCTACTATACAATATTTACATTTCCAATGTCTTTCTCTGTGATAAAACTACAAATAAAGTAATGGCTTTATAACCCCATAAAGCGATTTGCTCAGAACGTGACAGAACTGCATGCTTTTTCGCTGCGTGTTGCTTAGTAATACACCTGGTGGGGATGCTGAGATTTATTATTGAATTTTTTTTATTGAACCAAGGATTGGTTAAAAATGTAAATATAAGGAATAACAGTCTTCAGTGTTTATGCAAATTATCACACGAGCAAATTGATTGATCACATCTTAAAACCAAAAAACTAAACGTTTATTCCTTAAATCGTCCAATCCACACTTTGCAAAAAAAGTTGTGTCATTTTGCAGGTCAACTAAAGGTCAAAAGGGAAGGACACATGCAGTGATCCCTTCTTTATACAAGCAAACAATTTTTTGCGCCCTGATGAATCCAATGTGTTTAAAAAATTCTTTCGATGAATGGGTATAATCCCATTCTGAAGCAATCGAAATACAAGATGCAAAGATTTTTTTCTATCAATGGACAAATTAAGTTATGGACCTGAAAGCTACAAAGGCTACTGTGATGATTCTAGGAGTTTTTCCCCAAAGATGGCAACCAAATTCAAAAGTGTGGATTGAATTATCACACGTGTCATTGTATAGTAGAAAACGAAAGCATGTATGAAACAAGCACCTGTGGATACAGTTACTACTTTAATAAATTTTAAAAAAAATTGAAGAAAAACAATGATTCAATCATTAAATTTAGGTTGTAGATTTTCATTTTTGGTTGTGGATTTTAGCATTTTAGCTTTTTCATGTCCACAGCCTGTAGAAGAAAATGTTAATTTCAATCCCTGTTTACAGTTGTACTTCTCCTGAAAGTTACACATGTACTGGTCCTAAAAGTTACAACTGTCATGCATGATAATTTTTAGACCCAAATACTGTGCAGGAGCCTTGAAAATACTGGAATATAGGTGAAAATACTGTACATCACTTATCAAAACACGACACAAAACTGTACAAAATATCAACTAAAAATCAATACAAAAGGTTCATTTTTATTGGTAAAATTTTCAAATCAACAAATGTACCACTGCATGCAGTGTTAATTACTTATTGCAAGCAACTTTTTCAGTTTTCAGGATTTCAGCAATCCCCAAGGTCAATGTTGAAAATTTTAAGAAGACTGTCCAAAGTACAGTTTACCATGCAAGTCTCTGTCTCTAGTCATCTGTATTTTCCCCCTGATACTAAAGCATCTTCCTTACTCTTTGTCAGAATGGACAATACTTATGGTTAGGCAGAGCAAAACAGTTATGGATTGATTTTTGTGTTGTTATCACACAGAGTTTCTATGATTTATGTTGTTTTCTCTTTGAACACATCTTTCTATAGACAAAATTTTAACAAGTTAGGATTGAAAACCCACTTATAAAAGCAATTCAGCCTTTTAAGAAGTTTTGAAAACTTGTTTAATGTTTAACACCTTCAATCACAATGTTTTGTTTACATTAACCAAGCACAGAAAGTCATGCGATTGAGATTTCCGGAGTTGTGAAAGTGAGAATTAAAAAAAAGATGTTTTCTGGTAAGCAATTCAAAAAACAGGACAAATTTCATTTCCTGTGAATTTTGGTGTACCTCCATGATCCCGTTATTAAACGAGGTAAAAAATATGTGACATTCTGTGTACAGCTGGTGCATATCACATGTATGAATTGTACTAATCCTGAAAATTACAATATTACTTTAGTCATGAAAATTACAATTCTACTGGTCCTGAAAGTTACAACTGTACTAGTCCTGAAAGTTACAACTGTACTAGTCCTGAAAGTTACAATTTTAGTAGTCGTGAAATTTAAAATTGTACTAGTCCTGAAAGTTACAAATGTACTAGGCCAGAAAAAAGTACTGTCCTGAAAGTTACAATTGAACTATAGTCATGAAAGTAAAAACTCAATCTGATTAAAATCAGATCCTTTGATCCGCTCACATAGATCACTACAGAAGGATCTGAAGAAACCCCATTCAGGGTTATCTCCTAGTGACCTTTAAATTATCCAATCAAATGTTTGCTTTAGAGAATTTAGAAGTATCTCGGAATTCAGTTACAGTCCCTGAAACGTTCTATTTTCCCATTTTTCCGTTCGCTCACCGTTCGTTCAGCGTGCGTTCACCATTCGTTCACCGTTCGCTCTCCGTTCACAGTTTTGCGTTCACCGTTCACCGTGCGCTCGCGTTCACCGTTCACAAAGCGTTCACCGTTCGCTCTTCGTTCCGTTCACTTTGCGTTCACCTTGCGTTCAGCGTTCACCTATCGTTCAGTTTTCATTGTCATTCGGAACTCCGAAGTGAAAGGACTTATCTTTTTGTAGGGAAGGAGTTACAGGTTTTTTAATTTAATAACTAACATATCGTGTTTGAATCATTATTTCATGTTGAAAAATATCTACGATATATATTTTTATTATTCTAACTTAGCTGTTAGGTTATTTATTAAATTACTCTGGATTACTCTGGAAAATAAATGTTGTTATAAGCACATTCTGTACCTATGTAGAACGATGCTGAAATATCAAATTTAACTAAGGGCAATGTGGAAATACTTCAAGCACTGCAACATTTTGTTGTTTTGTTAAAGACGACAAATCGTTAATGGTAATATAATTATCCAAGTCAAATAATTACGCAGCAAAATTACGAAAATATTTATTTCTAACACTTTTTTTTTCAATTACTGCAGAAAATATGATAGAACTATTTCTGAGAGTTACACATAGTACTGTGGATATCCTATTTATTTATTATCTTTGGAGCGAAATAAATTGATAGTGTGGTTAAAGGAAATATTTATTTGAAATGTACTGCACTACAGAATTTTCTCTACTATAATATGTAAAGTCTATAGTTATAGAGAAAAAAATCTTTCTTCACCGTAACTTTATATGTTTGCCATTCGATATGATTAATACCCCCCCCCCCCCCTTTCCCCCTAGATTGGTTACTTAGTCAGTAAATACTGTATTTCCAGAATATTTTAATTTACATTTTTAAAAAAAAGTTAAGGTCTTTTTTAGAACAAAAATTTCAGTCTCAAAACAAACATGCATCTAAAAAAGTCACAAAACAATAGTTGTTCAAAATGTACACGTGTCGGCGGTGGTATTTGAAATTGACAGAGATTATGTTTCAAATTCAAGTGTTAATGCCCAATGTATTTTATTCATTTATTATTCAAATGTTGGGATCAAATCTACAAATATAAAAATAAATGTTATAACTTGTTGGAAATACTCGCACTTCGTCTTCGATGTGACGAAACTTTCACACCTGCACAGTGTCGAATGATTTTGATTGACAGGACAAGCACGTGGACTTCGTGTGAACTTGAAGCAGGAAAATAAAAACGAGTATGACTGTCAAACAAATGGATATGATTTGTTGATTAAAAAAAAAGTTACTTTCACTGTCTGATATATTTAGAAAAATATTTCAGAGGTTTTGTTTGATATAGGTACAAAAATTTAGTGAAGCCTGAAAGAAGGGGGGGGGGGCTAAAATGGAATATTTCTCTCTCTCTCTCTCTCTCATTTGTCTGTTTAATAAAAACTATAACAGCATATTACTTAAATATCAAGTTCTGAAAATTGAATTTATAACAAATAATATGAATATGTATCTTTGTCTTATCTTGTCCGAGTATAACCACGGCCATCTACATATACATGTAGAAGTCTGCTTAATAAATCATCTTGAAAAATGGAAATGACACATAATATATTATTGTATTAAAAATTTTAAATACGAGCATATAAATGCGAAGCGTCCACTGACCTTTATAAATATTTTTTTTTATTACTTTACACGAAATCGCCCTGACACGGAGATATATGAATGGATGTTACAACCGCTTTAGTTCATTCTACAAGTCAGAAGTTTTCTCTGATTTGTTTAAACTTCAGCGTTCCGCAACAATTGCAATGTTTT